TAAAGTCATCTTCCACTTAGATAGAACCAGGCAAGGCTTGAGGTTGACTTTCTGAGTCTGAAAACACACACACACACACACACACACACACACACAGGCTTTGTGTCAGACAGTGACCCTTCCTACTTCCAGTTCTGCCCAGAGATGTTCTTAAAGGTAAGATTTTTTTTCCTCCAGAAAAAAAATAATAATTCAGTTAGACAGACACACTGAGATTCCCAGCTTCAGTCTCCTGGTTGCCCAGGACCTGGCCTCACCAGAAGTCCAGGTGAGCTGTCAAAGATCTTGGGGACCTGAATTCCTCAAGGGGGAGGCAGGGTCTGCCCACGGTTCTCTCGTCTTTGACATCTCAAAGCAGTTGCCTTGCGTGAGTCTACTAGGGGGACCTTGGTGAAGCAGGAGGTCTACTCTAATGAGAGAAACATGTTGAAAAGGGGACCCGAGGGCTGGAGAGATGGCTCAGTGGTTAAGAGCACTGGCTGCTCTTCCAGAGGACCTGGGTTCAATTCCCAGAACCCACATGGCAGCCCACAACTGTCTGAAACTCACAGTTCTAGGGGATCTGATACCTTCACACCAATGCACATAAAATAAGGTTAAATAAATTATTTTAAAAAAAAAGAAAGAAAAGGGGACCCTCTTGTTACCCAAAATTATCGAGACCCCAGGCAGGGGCAAGAAAGATAAACCACATTTAGAATCTCACCTGCTGCACACTGAGAGTCATAGAATTGGTTTGTCATGGCCACAGCCCCCCCACCAGCTCATGAAAGGGCTGGGGAACAAGAAGGAAGCTCACTAGACTTTAGAATACTAGAATACCCATGAGAGCTCTCCCTGTCCCTTCGAGGGCTCTCCAAGGGAACCACAGCACAACTTAAAAATGCCTGAAAAGGGGCAACACTGACATTCCTTCCCTGGAACTGAACTGCAGAATCCACTGGAGTTGAGGGGGGACGAAATTCTCCAGAGAGCATTTGGACAGCCTAGAAGCATGATTCAAGGTATTCAATCCCCCTCGACTTCTGAGGCCCAGCGGAGAGTGCTTGGTACATACATAGGGAGACATGGTACTAGATCCCTAGTGCCTCAGCTAGAAGGTAGCACAGGCCAAGTGGCTTAAACGCATTGACTCACGGTCCTGAGTCATAGGCATTATTGGCAGAACCGTGCTCCCTCTGGAACCCAAAGTGAGAGCCATTCCACACCTCTGCCCAGCTTCTCCTGGTTTAACAGACACCCCCAGAGTTCCTTTATCTGCAGAACTACGCTCCAATGCCTATCCCATCACTACACAGCTATTTTGTCTGACTGTCCATGCCTCTTATCTTCTTATTGTAAGACTGCCACTCATATAAACTAGACATATAGGCTGTTTGGTCACATTCTGGAGAGAAATATATGAGGGTGGCATAAAGTTATCCCATAATAGATCCTCCTTGTTTCTGGATGAGGGATTCCTAAAATGCAAGGCTTTCTGGCCTTGAAGGGGTAGGAACAGCCTCATTCCAGTTGTCTGGGGTGGGTGTGGGGCCAGAGCATCCTGTGTTTGTACATGAAGGAATGAGTGATTAGCAGGAGGATAGAGCTAAGGGCTTTGAGACAGCCGAGTAGGATACTCCTACTAGAAGAGGTGTTTTAGTCTGTTTTGTATTGTTATTATAAACACCCAAGGCTAGGTGACAAACCTAAAGAGGGTTTCTCATGATTCTGGTCATTGAATGATCCAGATAGCATGATCCCAGTACCTTAGGTAGAGCCCTCTGGCTACATCACAAGATGTCAGAGAAACTGGGAGGGATCCAGCTATACACAGAAGGGGCTAAGGCATGGGATGGCATTGATTTTTAATAGCACAGTCTTGAAGATTCAAAGCATTCATGAGGTCGGAGCAAACCAGCCCAACTACCTTCTACTGAACTCTACCTCAAAGATGTCATCAGCTCAGTACTATGACACTAGGGACACCTTATCTAAACCATAGCAGGGAGCCAAGGAGAGGCCGAGTCCTTTCCCCAAGAAGTCTGGGAACCTTTTCCACACAGAGGCTGGTCAGGCAAGGAACAATTTTCCTCTTCATCTCTTTCCTGCCCTCCAGCTCCTTCTTCTTTTTTAAAAATTGGTTTTTCAAGACGGGGTTTCTCTGTAGATTTGGAGGCTGTCCTGGAACTCTCTCAGTAGACCTGGCTGGCCTCAACCTCAGAGATCTGCCTGCCTCTGCCTGCCAAGTTCTGGGATCAAAGGCGTGTGCCACCAACACCCAGCTGCAATTGGAAGGAGAATTCTAGAGCATAAGACTCTGCCCTAATGCCTCCTCAAGGAGCAAATTTTCTGCTGTGCTTTGGATCTGCCTCCCCACAAACAGTCATGTGTAAAGGCTTGGACCCCAGGGTGGTACTTCTTGGGAGATGCTGAGACTTTCAGGAGGTAGGGTCTGGTGGGAAGTCTTTAGGTATGTACTCTCAGGGGGATTACAGGACTCCAGCCCCATGGTTGGCTCCCTTTGGCTCCTTGGCTGATGCTGTGTGTAGTTTTACTCTGTCATGTGTGACTATCCTGATAATTGCATCATCGGGGGCCCAAAGTTGTGGGACCAGTTGACAGCTGACCCAAATAAACCTCTTCTCTTTATAAACTGGGTACCTCAGGCATTTTGTCAGAGTGGTAGAAGGAAAGCTGGCTATTTCCCTGGGAGTCCCCCACTGACAAAGAGGACGCTGGCGGACACATTCCCAACACTGCCTTTGCCTAGCACCGTTGGAACAAGATCCCATCCTGAATGAAACAGCTATTACCCACGAAAAAGAGCAAACAGCTATCTGGCCAGCCCAGGGCCAGCTGTGAGGACTAATGTAGGGTTCTGTTTGACAGACAGCTCTAATGAGCTACTGGCCAACATTTTTGTCAACCGTTTAGACACCGAGATCAAAGGGAGGTCACAAACTTGATGCCTGACACAAAGCTGAAAGGAACACAGAACACATTCCAGAAATGGGCTCAAATGGTTTCAGCTAATTAGCATAAATAAGATTAAATTTAATCGGGATTAGGCAAAGCCCGGTAGTTAGGTCCAAAAACACCAATTGTAAAGTACAAGATTGCCATACCGAGACTTGGAAGCGAGTCATAGACCAAGGACCTGAGCATCAGAGGGTGATCATAACTTAATGTGGCCCCGATTAGCCCTGTGCCCCCCTCCCAGTCACCCCTCCCCCATGGACTCAGAGTCTTAAAGACCTTGTTTCTTCATTGTCTCACTCTGAGATCTGTTTCTCTTCCCTGCTTCAATTTAGTCCCCCTGAGCCACAATTTAGCTTCCTTTTCTTTGTGAGTGTGTGTGTGTGTGTGTGTGTGAGAGAGAGAGAGAGACAGACAGACAGACAGACAGACAGACAGACAGAGACAGAGACAGAGAAAGAGAAAGAGAGAGAGACAGACAGAGAGAGAGAGACTCACTATGTAGTCTGGAGCTTACTGTGTAGACCAGCCTCTGTGAGTGAGTGTGTATGTGTGTGTGTCTGTATGTCTGTATGTTTGTGCCTGTCTATCGGTGTGTGTCTCTCTGTGTGTCTGCATCTCTGTCTGGCTGTGCCTGGCTGTGCAAGTCTGTATCTATGTCTGTATGTTTCTATGTCTGCTGTATGTGTCTGTCTGTTTCTGTGTTTCTATGTGTGTGTCTGTCTGTATTTGTGTCTGTGTGTCTATGTCTGTGTCTATGTCTGTATGTGTCTGTGTGTGTCTGCCTGTCTGTATGCCTGTATGTATCTGTCTCTGAGTGTGTGTCTGTCTCTGAATGTGTGTCTGTCTGTCTGTCTGAATGTATGTCTGAGTCCCTGTCTGAATGTGCGTGTGTCTGTGTGTGTCTGTTTCTGTGTGAATGTGTGTGTGTAGGCATGGATGTGTCAGGTACACTGTGGAGGTCACATGACAGTTTTCAGAAGCTCCCCCTCCACTTTTTTGAGACACGGTCCCCCTGTTTATGTAGCTCTCCATATTCCAAGCCAGATGACGTCTAATCTTCCCATCTTTTAAGAGTACAGGGATTATAGACACAAACTGCTCATTCTGGCCTTTCATGGGTTTGAGGGATTGATCTCAGGTTGTCAGGCCTTCATCACAAATGCTAGCCCATCCTAGGCCCTTTTCTCATATCTCAGCTTTTTGACTAATTTTACTTGCAGTTCCTACATCTCTTAAAAGCCAATGCATTCTAGGAAATTTGCAAGAATGGAGGCTACTGGAAACAAGACTATGGGAACCAGGGGAGTGTCTTCAAATGAAAGAAAAACAGATGACCCTGTGTTACCTCAGCAAATAATGCTAGAGCCAGAGGGGCGTGCTGGCTCATTCTATGTCAATTTACACAAGCTAGAGCCATCTGAGAGGAGGGAACCTCAATTGAGAAGATGCCTCCAGAAGATCTGGCTGTAAGGTATTTTCTTAATTAGTGATTGATGGGGGAGGGCCCAGTCCATTGTGGGTGGGGTCACCCTTGGGCAGGTGGTCCTGGGTCCTATAAGAAGGCAGACTGATCAAGTCAGGAGGAACAAGTCAGTAAGCAGCACCCTCCATGGCCTCTGCATCAGCTCCTGCCTCCAGGTTCCTGTCCTGCCTGAGTTCCTATCCTGACTTCTTTTGGTGATAAACCCGTGATGATGAAGTACAAGCCAAATAAACCCTATTCCTTCCTAAATTGCTTTGGTCATGGTATAGGTCAGTTAACTATCGACTTGACACAGACTAGAGTCATTTGAAAAGAGGAAATTTCAATTGAGAGAATATTTCCATCAGATTGGCCTGTAGGCAAGACTGTGGAGGCCTTTCCTTGATTCATGATTGATGTGGGAGGGTCCAGCTCAATGTGGGAGGTAACAACTCTAGGCAGGTGGTCCTGGGCTATATAAAGAAGCAAGCTGTGGGATCAAAGCGATGGTTCAACAGTTAAGAACACCGGCTCTTCTTTCATAGTTTGATTCCCAGCACCCATGTGGTGCCTCACAACCATCTGTAACTCCAGTTCTAGGGGATCTGACACCTTCTTCTGGCCTCTGTGAGTACTAGACTGTGTGTGGTGCACAGACACTTATGCAGGCAAAACACTATATACAAATAGTTTTCAAATGAAAGCAGCAAGCTGAGCAAGCCAGTCATTCTCTCGAGGTCTCTGTTTCCGTTGCTACCCTGAGTTCCCTCACTGAAGGATGAGACCTGGGAGTTGTAAGATGAAATACACTCTTTCATCTCCCAAGTTGTTTTTGGTGTATGTTTTATCACAGCAACAGGAAGCCAAAGGAAGACAAGAGAAAGGCAAGATGTGGCTGTCTGTTCAACAGAAAGCACTGTCTCAGCTACTCTATGAGGACATGCTGCACACAAGGTACTACACAGGTGTTTCGGGCCATCTAGGTGGGACTGGCCAGCAAACCGCATGCACCCAGTCTAGCATTAGTGTGGAGGGGTCCCTGAACTCCTGGCGTGCACAAAACTAGATTGCTGCAGTCAGTAGTAGAGAGACTAAGCTATCCTAGGGAAAGTTCTGGTTCTGTACGATCATATCTAAGCCAGGTGAGCTCTCTTGGAAAGGCACGAACACTAATTCTTTGGAAGGCAGGAGAAGTGACTGCCCATGAGTTGTCCTTCCAAAGGGAACAGGATGACCTCCTGAAACATCTGCAATACTTCTCAACCTGTCTGCTTTGCTTCTGGCCCATTAAGCTGGCCCAGCCTTATGCACAGGCTGCACCTGCAGGAGATAAAGACTAGCCGAAAACAGCGATGGTGTTGACAGCAATTCCCTAGAATCTTCATCTTCTGACTTGGCTCCAGTTCCTTCCTCCTGGCTTCTGGCTCTGTCGTCACCTCAGTTACTTGAACCTTGGCTTCGCTAATCCAACAGGCCAGGGAGGTTTCGAAACCTCAGGAAGGCCAGCCTCACCTAGAAGACTTCCCAAGCCCCTAATGCTGGTCCCTAGTGCAAGAGTTTTTAATTAAGTTGTTGACCTGGAATTCAAATTCAATTTGGAATGCTGTAATCTTTGCATGTGTGCATGTTCATGTGTACTTGTACACAGGTGTAGGGGGCACACAAGCCTACAAGTCTGTTTGTGTGGAGGCCAGAGGTCAATGTCACATCTTCTTAAATCATTCTCTATTTTCATTTTAAATCTTTTATTGTAATTATATATTATGTATGTATATTTAATTACACACACACTCACACTCACACACACACACCCGGAGCTAGAGTTACAGGCAGTGGCAAGCAACTGACATGGGTTCTGGGAACTGAATTTGGTCTGGCTGTCTGCAAGAGCAGCTTCTCTCCCCAGCACAGAGATTTCTGGGTGCACGGTGTTATATGTGACTTGTTTTCAAGACAGTGTTTCTCTTCGTAATCCTGGCTTGTCCTAGAATTCAGAGATCTGCCTACTTCTGCCTTTTAAGTGCTGGGATTAAAGGCTTGTGCCACCACACACAGCTGTTTTTTGTTTTTGTTTCTGTGCCTGCCTTTTTCACCTGGGTTCTCAAGATCAAACTCAGCTCCTCATGCTGGCACAAGTACTTTATTGGCTGAGCCATCATCCCAGACCCCAGAATGCTTATCTGGGTATTGCTACATCTGAGCCGGGCAGGCATATGGGAGGCAGAGGCAGGTGAAGCCCTGAGTTCGAGGCCAGTCTGGTCTACTGGTCTACCTCAAAAGTTCCAGGATAGCCAGGGCTACACAGATTCTGTCTCAATCAAACAAAACATATATATATATATATATATATACATATATATATATATATATATATATATGAATCGAGACAGACAGAGAGAGGTAGGAAAATCAGAATGCAGTCAATGGGTTACAAGGTCTACCAAAGTTACCAACTTCGCTTTAGGCTGATGATGCTGAGTGGGAGAGGAGGAGCATGGGAAACGGGCAGGGTGAGGGTAATAAATGCAGCTCTCTTGCCATCGCAATTTTTCCTTTTTCCTTAGTTCTTTGAGAATCTCATACAATGTATTTTGATTTCTTCACATTCCCTGAGTCACTTTTCCAAAGACACTTTCCTAAAAGCTGAGGGAGAGTCAGGAGACCTGGGCCTTGACCCAGCCCAGGTCTGTGACTAGAGAAGCTCGCCAGAGGCAGCACCTCTCACCCCATGCGACTCCGCTTGCCTAGAAGAAGAAAATAAAATGTCTCCTGGATACACAGAGAAAACCATCTAAGATGCTTAAAAAGAAAAAAAAGGTGGGGTACCATTGTGAAAGCCTTAAATAGTTAAGGATGGAGGAAGAAGCCCTGGCCTATGATGAAAAGGGAGGAAAGAGCCTCATTAGACACATTTTTGTCTACACATGTGTGTACCTCTGTGTAGACCGGGGGTCAGCATAGGCTATCTTCCTCAGGTGCTCGCCACACATTTACTTTGTGTGTTTGGGAGTGAGGTGTGACATGCCCTAATTGCATACAAACAGCATACATAGCACAGCTTCCCAAGAGTCAGTTGGCTCCTGCCAAGTGGTTCTGGGGCTCGAACTCAGGCTGTCAGGCTTGGCAGCAAGCACCTTTACCTGCCAGCTCTCTACCCTAGTTTTGAGACGGTTTCTCACTAAACCTGAAGACCACTGATTGGGCTGCACTGGCTGGATAGCAAACTTCCAAGGATCTGCCTGTCCCTGTAGCCAAGCCCCAAGCACTAGGGCCATTGCTGCCACGACCCCAGCATTTATATGCTGAGAATACAAACTCAGTTCCTGGTTTTGTGGCAAGCACTTTACCAACGGAGCCATATTCCGAGTCTCGATGTTTTTAATAATAACAGTAGCACTATTCAGACACAGTCACAGGAACATTCTAGTCAAATGAGTAAGTCGGTGCTGACTGCTGGGTGGATTTAAGTGGCCTTGGGAAAAATCTCTGGTAGGGGATTTTTAAATGTGCAAACCTTCCACTTTTAACTTAATTTCAAAGACAATTTGAAAGGGAAAAAGAGGATGTCTACGTTAGTGATATGGCACTCGTTTGCACCTGGGCAGACCAAGCCTCATCCCAGAACTGGGAGCGTTTGTGCACAGATGGAAGGCGCTGCGTGTGCAGCAGGAGCCACAAACTTAGGAGGGGATATGGCTGGGAACCAAGGTAACAAAGCATCATCTACCAAGGTCACACACAGAGACACAGTCCTGCGCCGTGACCCCAGCACCTTCCTTCCCCGAAGAGAGCTGAGATCATTCCATGGAAAGATGCTGCCTGGCCTCGGCGTCAAATCCTCTAATATGGCAATGGGCAAGTTTGCTGAACACCTGCTGCAAATATACACAGCCCATCTGGCACCATGGGGGAGAGTGAAGGGGAACCAACGGGCTCTGGTCCTGCCAACAAGCATGAACCTGGCGCTCCTGGCAAGACTAGATTGTCTATGCTGCAGCAGCAGCCTTGTGCTGTGTGAAGAGCAAAGTATGAGGCAGAGAGGAGGGAGGGAGGGAGAGAGAGAGAGAGGAGAGAGGGAGAGAGAGAGAGAGAGAGAGAGAGCTTCATCTGGGCCTCCAGAGAACACTTTCCTTTTCTCCTAAGAAATTCAAAACACCCTTCCTTTAGGCATGTCCCAGGCTGTTTATAGACATCTATATCCTACGGTCCCCTCCAAGAGGTTTGGAGGGAGATAGCTTAAAGTGTTCCCATTCTTTTTAGGTTTTCTCAGCTTCTTATCCCATCTGGCCATTTTTACCATCCTTCCTCTTCTCTCCACAGAAACAACAAACAAAACCAGACCTCGAGACCTGTGACCTAAAGACAAAGAGGTCAGTAATCTGTTTTCTGGATTCTCACACATTCCACTCAGTTCTTGGGCATGGAGGGCTCCTGTATGGCTGCACCAGGGCCTGGGTAAGGAGGAGACTCAGCTTAGGCAGAAGCACAAGACAGGTCCAATGAACGGGGGCATCCAACCCCATCCTCCAGGGGCTCATGGATAGGGATTATACAGATGAGCAGGTGGCCCCTACCAATAGGATCTGCTACCAATCATTGGCACAGTGATGGCAACCTGGATGCTCTGGAAGAATCTCCATTCATGTTGACTGATGGGGAAGTCCTGTGTATTTGTCAATAAAGCACTGTTGGCCAATAGGGAGGTGAGATAGGAAGGATTAGGAGTCGAGGAGGACTCTGGGTAGGAGAAACACAGGGAGTCATCATGTAGCTGCCATAGGGGTAAGAAGTCCAGACCCTTTCTCCAGTAAGAGAAATACTTAGATTAACAATTATGGACGGCTGGGCGGTGGTGGCACACGCCTTTAATCCCAGCACTCAGGAGGCAGAGGCAGGCGGATCTCTGTGAGTTCGAGGTCAGCCTGGTCTACCGAGCAAGTTCCAGGACAGCCTCCAAAACAATACAGAGAAACCCTGTCTTGAAAAAAACCAAAAAAAAAAAAAAATGAAGTAAATACTTAAGTCAGAGCTAGCCAGTAAGAAACAAGCAAGGCCAACAGCTTCATAATTAATACAGCGTCTTGTGTGTTATTTGGGGACTATAACGTGGCAGAGCCCAGGTGACTGGTGGGGGAAAACCAAAGCAGCTGGCAAGGAAAAGGCTTCTCTCAACAGTTGACTCCATAGCGCAATCAAATGTCCTCAAGATTATTATGCTTTTGTGTTCAGCTCTTTTCAAAAGTTCCCCCTCCCATTTGGAATGGGTTCAAAAATGTTTATCCAGCCAAGTCTCCCAGCAGGTTGGGAATCGGCATTAGGTAGAAACCTACTGGAAGGTAGGCGGTATGGTTCCTCATGACTGCCACACTTTTCTGCAGTGTCTGCTGTCCCTTCATTCCATGTAACCCTCCCCTCTGTCACTCTCTAATGTAACACTGCCCATGAGACTCTGGTGTGTGCACGCCACACTCAGTGACTGAGGAGGACTTAGGGCAACAGATGAAAGTCTTATAAGGAATTAGGGAGCCTAGCAATGTGTAAAGAAGCTGCATACAGGCTGTGGCCTACTCTCCTTATGGGAATAATGCTGGTTGTCAATGTGGCCACACCAGGAAGCACTTAGAACATTAGTTAGTACACTTCTGGGTAGCTACAGAGAATGAATGAAAGAGGAAACGCCAGGCTGGAGAGATGGCTCAGCAGTTAAGAGGACTGACTGCTCTTCCAGAGGACCTGGGTTCAACTTCCAGCACCCACATGGCAGCTCACAACTGTCTGTAACTCCAGTTTCAGGGGATCTGACACCTTCACACCAATGCGTATAAAATAAAAAAAAGAAGAAAGAAGGAAGAAGAAAGAAAGAAGGAGGGAGGAGGAAGAAGGAGGAAGAAGAAGAAAGATGATGAAGAAGAAACACCTATCCACACTGTGAAAGAAACTCTCCCATAGGGTGGGGGCTAGACAAAATCAAAAGAAGACAAGGAGAAAAGCCCTCGAATGAAGGCATCTTATATTGTCTGCTCCCTGGCCACTATGACTTTGGCTGTTCCACTCCACCATCCCATCTCCACCACAAGGGACTGAAATGTCTGAGATTCTGAGCCCAAATGGACCTTTCTCTTCAAGTAGCTTGTGCAATGTATTTGTATAGCCACACAAGGTCTACATGACAGTCACCCTAAGTCCCCTGTCTCTGAAGGAGATGAGGAAAAATGCAGTGCTCATGGTTACCAGGAGGGAAGACGTTATCAGAGAGGGCCACGATGGATTGCCTGCCAAAGGCTGCATACAGTTCTGGAGGAGAGGTCATGAGTCAGAAAGAAACAACTTGATGGACAGCCCAAGGCCATTGGATATTGGCTAGAAGTCTGAAGATGAAAGCTGGGTGTGGTGTTATTTGCCTTTATTCCTAGCACTTGGTAGGCAGAGACAGGCAGATCTCTGTGAACTTGAGGCCAGCCTTTTCTACATAATGAGTTTCAGGACAGCCAGGACTATATGGAGACACCCTGTCTCAAAACAACGAAAAGGAGGCTGAAGACGAACTCCATGCAGTGATTTTTCAGCTCTATCCCCCTCAAACTGCGGGTGGCTAATATCACCCGGAAGTACTTGGCCACTGTGTAGGGCCAGGCTAGCCATTGTTTATGGACCCTGGGTCTCAGGAGTCACAGCCTCTAAAGA